AGCGGGCTCCTCCAGCGTTAACCACTCGACGTAAATCATCGTTATTCCAACGCGCTGTGTGATGTGTCGCTGTGTCGTTGTTGGTGAGATTTGTCGGTGGTTTGTCGTCTTTAAACAACCCGCTGCCACGGCAATGATGACAGGACGCGTGTGGGGGAAACGTTCCTTCTTGTATCTTCTGCCGTGTCACACGCTCACGTCTCATTCATTGTATCATGACCTTGCAGCACGTGGTGTTTAACCCAGATGGTTTAACTATTGGAGGAAATAGTGCTTATGAAACCGGGGGACTGAGAGAATGAAGATTCTTTCAGCGCGATCCACAGATCGCTTTCATTTCTCAGAGAGAGAACAAAACAAACACAAATGTTGTTCCGCCTCAGTCTTAATGGGGTGAAGGTAGAACGATCTCTGAGGCGTTTGTGTTGCTATCTAAGCTAATAAAACCAGGTCTATTTGTTCCGCTGAACTAAAGGTTGAACAGAAAATACCTTCTCTTATATTCTCTACTTTTTAAGGGGCGCATGTGTACGACACATTTCATCTGCAGGATATTAGAAACGCGCTACCTTTGAGATGACGACCTTGCCAAACAATAAATCAAAGCCGTGTTCTCAAAGTTAAATGATTTGACTCACTGACTTGGACCCCATTGTTGGCTGCAAGTAGTTATTTATCGTTTTTATTCTTTATTAGGTGTGAAAATATTGTGTCCTGGTTGTATCGCAACAGCAAAAGAAGAAGAACAATGTTAGTTTTATCTTGCAAAGTCCTCACATTTGCCATTGAGTGGCATTGAGTGTCAGTTTATGGGTTAATTCCCAAATCTCACTTGGGCTCTGATTAAAACAACGTTCCAACTGGTGTCAGAAATGTCAAGTTCAGTTCTCTTCTCTTAGAGATTAATAACACCTTGCAGATAAACAACGTTTAGTATTCTCCTCGTCGTGGTATTTAGATTAGAAAGCAGTTTGTTCTAATCTTTAGTATATTTTTGTAATCCATGTTGCATAAATTGTGTTTGGTTTACTGAACACAGTGTGATTCAGTTGAGCCTGCTCTATGTATGTAAATAACATATTATTAATACAGCTCAAGTCAGCTTGGTAGACAACTGTGGCAGCGGAAAACTGCCTCTTATGTTGTAAATAGAAATATTATTTTGTTGTGCAGTTGAAGTTGGGTTTCAAAGATTATTTGAAAAAAACAACCTGACGTCTTAGACGGATATATTTAGAGTGTAAGTGTCAAACGTCACCAGCTGAGGGCAGCAACACCAATGAGGGTGATGTAACCTCCTTTGAATGAAGCGGCAGAGAAAGAAACGCAGGATGGACAATGAAGAAGTTTGTTGAAAAAAGAAGAAGAATGTGGCCTTCACGTACACCATGTAAACTACTGATTTAGAGAAGAAGACGCTTTTTGTGCGCTAAACAGTAAAACTGTATTTTCTATGTTGATTTATTTGAATATATGTGTACATGGAGTTCTTCTAACACTGGTAATGAAGAACACTCATGTGCTACTTTTGGATATAATGTTCCTAAATGCTTGAGGGCACAACACATTTCGCAAAGAGAAGTAAATTCAAGACGATGTGATTTCAATCGGTACCACCAAATTCCCCCGGATGTGAAGAATTTGTTAAATGGGGCTTCCGGCCTTATACGTTTACG